GGAGCTCCCACACTGACCCATCCAATACATCACGCAAAAAGTCTAAGAAGTCTTGGTCAGGATTAATAACGTCAAGTGCCACAGCTGCTGGCTGTGGCACCACCGCCGCGACGGCCGCCTCTGTGGGCTGCTTCTCCAAGGCTGGCAGCGGCTGGGCCAGCGCAGGGGCTCCACGACGCGGCTACCAGCATGTTCGCAAGGGATTCCACAACGGGTTGCAAGCCTGCTGGCACCTGTAGAACCGCCACCGCGGTGGTGACCGGCACACGGGCCCCCAGCGGGAGTCCCTGCAGCTGTTGGACCGATGGTAAGACGTCCTGCAGCCTCTAGCAATGGGGACCACTGGAAGCGGGGCGGGTGGCGGGTGGCATGGGGAAAAGAAGCGGGTTATGGAAGGGTTGGAAAGTAGTAAGAGAAACGGATCCAGATACGGTGCAGTAGGGAAGTTAGGGATGGGATGGTGGGAGGATGTGAAATTTGGTCCGAAAGACAGGTGCAGGCGCATCGTCTAAGTTTTTGGGACCATAATACATGTTGACAGTTACCTGTTCCAAGCTGACACACTTACATTCACATACATTCGGTAATCCTACCACATGGGTAAATGTATCAGAACCCCAAAACACGATGGCTGCGATGTCAAACACCTGCGCCGCCAGGAACTCCGTCTTGTATGCTGCCAGGAAGTGCTGTTTGCCCTAGGACCTCTGTCCCGTCCCAACCGTGTCACACATCCCCGTGGATCCCACAAATGGGCCTCCCACTTGTTGGCGTTACGGCGCATTAGAGGGGACAGGTAGCGGCAAGCAGGGTAAGGGGCCAGGAGGGGACTGGGCGGTGGCCGCTACCCCTCCCCGCACATGCACCGTAACGCCAACAAAAGTGGGAGGTCCATTTGTGGGATCCGACGGGGATCTGCAGGAGACGTGAGCCGGGACAGAGGTCCAAGAGCAAACAGCACTTCTTGGCAGCATAGAAGGCGGGGCTACTGGCGGCACAGGTGTTGGGCATCGCAGCAATCGTGTTCTGGGGTCTCGATACCCTTACCCATGTGGGTCACCAAGATTACCGTATGCATGTGTACGGCGTGTCTAAGGTGTACAGGATCCCTACATAGCTTTATGTCTGATAATGAACGGCCAGTGAGAGGGCAACCGCCCAAGGGTGTATCCTATTATGGATTTGTCCCCAGCCCGCCAACCCTTTCCTCTTTTCATGAGGCCCCGCCGTGGGTTTATGCTACGCTAATACCGAATGAGGCATGGGTCCCGTCCCCAGCTTACGGTTGCAGCTCTTACCCAATTCGTCTTGCTCCATCCCGGCCTGGTCTCAACTCACGACGAGAAGGCGTTACGGTTGATTGTCGACGCAGCCGGCAGCTGCAGCAGCGGTGGCGGTGGTGCTGCAGGCGCAAAGGTGATAACAGGATTTACAGGACGCAGAACCTGCGCCTGGAGCCATACCATGTAGTACATGGATCTCAATACCTGTTCTCAAACGCCGGACATATAATTAAAGGCGCCTTCTGATGTAAGGGCAAGGGGAAGCGAGTAATGGCGGCCCTGACGATACGACGACAGTGTGTAGACCCCTGCAGCAAGCTCACCACTTCTGCTGATAATTGGCTGATCAAAATACTCACAAAGCAGAAGAATTGTATTCATTTTCATTGAAAATTGGCGAATGGAAATCGGCTTGTAATCTTGGGATATGATCATTGGCTTTATATATGGATTTCCCTAGTTATCGGCAGTACAAAAGGCCTACGAGGAAGGTGGGCGCAGCCTCGAAGGTGGCGCCCGGTGTCGGTCGTTTCCCTGCCAATCCGCATCGCCAAATCTCCCGTGCCGAGGCAAGGGCTTCCTAGGAGGTCCCAGGCAGCTGTCCTGTCCCCACGTCCTATATGGTTGCCGATAAGCCTGCCCTGGCCTGGCTTAGCGCCTAGATAGGCACGAGCCTAGAAACCATGATGTTATCTATTTTTTGACGGCCCCAGTAACCGCAACCCTCCCATGCATGGGCGCTATTACAGGGTTGTTGATGGCCCCTGCGCATGGGGAGGGGCTTTGCGGACATTTTGAGGACAGCGACACACCAGGCCCACCATCGCAGCATAACATGTTGCTCCATGTTGCTGCGACTTACGGCAGCGCCCTTACCCGCAAGCATATCCCGTTGGCCAGTGGCCCACGAGTCGCCCTCTATCTCCTCTCCCCCTTGCCTTCCTTACCCCATCCCCAAACACATTCCTTGCCCCCAAGCCCCCAAGATACGGTTCTGGCCCACCCCCGCTGATACCTAGTTGGACGGCCCCTTCACCGTAACTGCCGAAGGGATCTAACTCCGTTGAATATCTCCATCATCAGGCCGGCGAGTATCTCCCCCAAGTACTCTACCTGGTGTTACAAGTGCTACCGCTGTCGCAGACCCCGCACACGCCAAGACTGTGGCGCTGCCACTGCTGCCGCTACTGCTGTTGATGCTACTGCCGTTGCTGCTGCTGTATCTGCCACTGCTGCTACCACTCAACTGTTAAAGCTACCACTTTTGCATGCTGCCACCCGAACTGCTGTTGCTGCTGCCGCTGCTGCTGCCGCCACCGAGTGACCCATAGGCCCATTGATGCAGTCCGGCCACCGTGCGGCCGCCGCCATTAACACTGCTGCTGCCATCACCGCACGTTATTAGTCGTGCCTCTGGCCCTGGCAGCCTTACGCTGTCAGCCTGCTGGCTCCAGTGTTTCTTTCATTACCACTGACGGGAAGGGCCCGAAGCCCCCATATCCCGACACGCCATGCCAGGACTCCTTGTCGCGCGATCGTTTCCTTTAACGCCACTACCGCATATCCTTCACTAGCAAATGCCGCACCTGATTCAGCTGCTGCCCCTGCATACTAGGAGAGAATGAACCAGTACAAGTTCGTGCATGTAGCACATCTTGGGGCTGCAGTTTCCACAGCTCCGGGCCCAGCGGCAGCAGCGCCAGCAGACTAATGGCAACACTGCTTGAGCGCTCCATGTCCCCTGACTTCCCAAGCGCCGTCCCTGGTCATCACTGGCCTTGTCATGGACCTGGTGACTCACAGAGATGACAATTGCAACAGCCGCGATCAATGCCTACCTATGCAAAGAGGCTGGACGTGCGAGAACACCTTGGCTGAACCCAAGGGGGTCCCCACCGGGGCCGCCGGGGTCAAGGCGTGCCGTTACCATCATTGAATGAGGACATCGCTGTGATGGAGCGCGCCCTGGGTAGCTTGCTCACGCGGACGCCCCCTTCCCCCAGCGATTGCACCAAAGACTGATGAGCTTTAGGTTGTGCTGTTAAGGATTAGAGGCCAATAGGCCCAACGACCGTGATGAGTACGCCGCAGGTACCTGCAGGCTTTGTAACTTCGGAACGGAGAAAAACGAACAGCATGCGGTTGGGAAATGCCCCGCTTGTGGGCTCCCGCTTATGATGACTTGAGGGCTGGTTATGGGAGAGGACTCGAGTTTCAAGGGCGCAACATGCGCACCGTTATGACCGAGGGGGCCCCGCCGGCATTACCTATCTTTTATTATTTCCTTTATCTCTAGGAGACAGCGCTCCTGCGCTTTGCGCTTCGACGGGAATGGGAGGATGACGATAATCGCCCCCCACACCGTAACGTTTTCACTGACGGTCCACGGGGTCCCCGGCTTCGACTGACCCCGCACTTGTGCTGACACAGTAAGTGTACATGTACCTACTTTGAGCCGCGATTTGCTTGACCGTCGTACCACTATATCTGCTGGAAGCTAGGTTGCAGCGGGCAGGTCACTTCCCAATGGTATTGGGCTTCCAAGTTCACAGCCGTCCACCCATGCATCCAAGGACAACGAAGCCTCGAAGATATCTGCGTGGATAAATATAGGTGGAAAGGAGGGCCGGAGTGGAGTGAGCTCCTCCGAGTGTGTGAACGGCGGTCGGTAGAGTAACGGCAGCTGGTCCAAATTACAGCCGCTTCGGCAGGATTGGGCCGGAGTGGGGTTTATCCCGTAAAGTGGTCTAAGGCACTGGCATGCACAAGGCCACGGCACGAACCTCCCTACGGGTACAGCGTGGCCCCCTTTATTAGCGAAATAATTCAACGTTGTGTGTGAGGCGGAGGCCACGTTGCCTTGAGGCTGCAGCATCTGCATGCATGCGGCTGTTGCAGATCCGGCCGTCGCAATAGGTGCCTGTAATCGTTGGCACAAAGGACGAGGTAGTGGTAGCACTGAAAACAGCGGTAGCAGCTACAGTGCTGTGCGGCATCGGCGTCGGCGGCCCCAAAAGTGCTCCAGCAGCGACCATGCTTCCCCTAATGCCCTTGTTTCCTATGTAGCGTTTACATGCTCCTTATCTAGCTTGCGGTATCAAGGCTCTTGGGCTTTTGGCTCGTCTGGGCTCGTTACACCCTCTCATACAGACACAGTGTGGAGGTCCAAGCAAACATGCGGTGATTGGGGACAATGGCACTGGGCGGGGAGAAGCGCAGTTGGGCAAGGCTGAACTGAGCAACCGCGCGGAGCGGAGACAATACCGATGCTATAGATCTGACAAAGTTTGGAGGAAAGCTAGTTGGCCGCAGCTTGAAGCGAGCTTCCTTTTCGCAAAACAGTTCCACAGCGGCCCAACACTACATGATTCAGCACCTAGTCCGCCAGATCACCGATTGACTAGTACCTTGTCATTCGTTCATGACTCTCGCAAGCCGGTCCGACGACGCGCTTTTGGCCATGCCTGGCCAGCACGTCGCAGTCATCCCCCGTATGAGGCGAATAAAATCATACAGCTAAGACGATAGTTTGTGTTATTTGCGAACAAGAAATCAGGAAAAATCCCGGGACTCAAAGTAGATGGCTCGCTGAGAGCAACGTGTGTCTTAGGAGCAGAGCCTGGGAACAATCTACCGCACCGTGATATAGCGCTTAGTTACATATGAATAGGCATAAACATATGATTAAGATGGGCAAGGGCAGTTCGGCTTGCTTGATGCTTGATATCGAGCGAGCAAGCAATAAGCTTATTGCCCTGAGGGCCTTGCTTCCTAATTTAAGACTTCCCTGCCTTGGTGTCTATCTATCTTTGGGTGAGGCCAACTATTTCGGAAAACAGGAATAAACTAATAGCTTGGGTCAGATTTCAGGAAAGCTACTATTGTACGTAGTCGTTGCATGTGTCCTGAAGGGACCCCGCTGAGCCCCAAGAACACACCGCCCACGCTATAACAAAGCAAATCTTCATCATTGCCCTCAAACTAACATGTTAGTGGACCTCTCTCCAGATTCGCTCAACAGGCTGCATACCAAAATCGCCGGCCCTTGCAAGTGCAGTAGTGGGTTCCGTCGCAGAGGCCCATGAAAATAACTAAGGTTAGCTCTTAAGTGCTAGAAACACCATAACGAATGAAGCTTTGCATGCTGTTAATTATCGCGCGCCGGGCTTCGGTCCATGGGCTTCGGAAATGTGGACAAGGCAATAGCTCGGAGAGCTCGCGAAATCAAAATTATAATTGTTCGAATAGCAATAACTTATGGAAATAGGTAGCATGTGCGTGGATGGAGACTATGCTTTTGAGCCTTGCTTGTGCCGATTCAGTTTCCTACACTTCATATCTCAGAGAAATATTTCAAAGATTCGACGTAAACAACTTCCTATACAGGATTGGGGTCGTTTATTTTTATTCAAGGGCTGCTGGGCCTGCTATGAACCGTCGCCGCAAGGCATAGACAAACAAAGAGCAAACAGTAGCAAAATACAACACCATAGGGTTCTGTACGAGGCATGAATATATAATTTTTCAATATTCTCTCATTCCGTTGCCTCAGACCTCTCACTTTTGGTATAAGCGTCCCCCCGTTTACACGCCTAGCAGAGCGACAGCTGGGCTGCTCTTGGCGCGAAGGCGATAGGAAGGCAGGCGGCTGATGTCTGTGAGGCCTGATATTTCCCTTGGTTGTGGGTGTGGGTCTTTGGACTCGGGCAGCGCTGCAGCGCTGGGTCATTCGGATGCAGCCGGACTTCGTGACCACCGCCAAGCGCCACTATTACCACCAGTACCACCACCTCCACCGCCAGTATCTGTAGTAGCTGGTACACAGTACGGCACACAGGACGTCTATAAGTACATCAGAGGCCTTTCAGCGGCCAGCTACTACAGTATTGTCCTCTATTGTTGTTGTTGTTACATGGTCGTGGGTGCGTTCCCCGTACCTGCAAACCACCCTAGTACGAGCCGAGGGCTCAAGGGCTGCCAAATCGCCTATAAGCACCATCCTACCTCGCACTTCCAACGAAACAAGTGATGAGGTATACTAACGACCAAAGGGAACGATAGAGTTACGGTGGGACCATATGCGTTCCAGCATCCTTGCCAGGCGTTCAGGTTCCCACTTCATAGCGTCCTTCATATGTTCGAAGCGTGGAAAGTCCTCTATTAGTAGTCTGTTGTATCACGTTTCAGAAGAGTACCGACCGGCGGATGCAGATTCCTGATATGCCCAGAATACGACAGAGTCTGCCTTTGCTGTGTTGTGCCATGAAGCTTCTACCACGCCCTGCACGACGAGTGTGTATCTCTACCAGGCTCTACATTTCTTGTGCAACACTCCAAGGGGCGGGCCTCGTCACTCCTTCGGCCACAACTTTCGTTCCTCACGCCCC